GATTTTTATAATTAACGTTAATTAACGAATTTTAAGAGATATATATATATATATATATATATATATATATATGTACACGTTTATTTGATAGTTCAAACCAAATAAAACCTCTTTCCGAATTAAAATTAATTTCTCTTATTTTTCAAAAAAAATTTAGAAATTATTTTTTTAAAAGTTATAATTAATTTTTATTTTAATTTAATTTTAAATAAAGATAACCCGTACATCGGACGGTTACTATACTAGTTTAGTATAAGGCCCAACTCCATATGAGTTATTTAGTAAACCCCTAGAACTAATTTGTTGTTAATTCATCTCTCCGCCTTCGTTCCAGTAAACCACATATCCCTATTTTTTCTCCCACATATAATTTCAAAGAATATATAAAAATTATGTTTTTAAATTTTTTTCAGTAATTATATAATATATAATACTTATTTAAATAATCCCCTTATTTATATTAACAAAAAAAAAATGCATGTGTTGTATATTTGAGATGGGTACTGTGGAGAGGGAGATAAATTAGCTCTATATGACGACGGTGGCAGCCTCATTTTGCCGACTAAGGGGGTTTTACTAACAATCTTGCCAATTATAAAAACTTTAGATCAATGTTTTGCAATATAAATTATACAATATTTTTGCATATTATTTTTCTTCAATAAATTACATCAATATTTAATTGTTATAACAAAAACTTGTCTTGATAAAATTTAAATTTTATTTTATTAGCGCCTTACACAAGTCAGCCTTAGAGATTGTAATCAGATCAACTACTTTATTGTCGTCTGGCCATCACATTATTTAAAAGGAATAATTTGAGTTTTAGTACGTTTTCGAAACTTAATTTGCGATATAGTACGTTTACTATTTATAATTGGCAAAATAATACACTTTTACTATTTGAACACTATTTGAACACTATTTATAAATCTTTTAAATCTAATAACTATGATATTCATCAAAATATATTTGGTTTTTATAAAATTTTAGTTACATAAAAATCTATATTTTTATCTCTATAATTTGACATGCATTTTATTTTGATAATCTTAAATATTTTTAAAACAAATTTTGATACGTCCAGCTATCCTCATGTACAGTTGTGTGTCGTTGTACGGAAATTATTTTGTATATTTCCGTACAGCGATTTATATATACGTATAATTGTATGTGTACAGATATTTTTATGGTCTATATATGTATATTTGTTTATGTGTAAAAATGTTTCTTTATAGTTGTTTGTCTCTGTACAAATATTTTATGTATAATAATATGTTTGTGTACAGTTGTCTATCTGTACAGATATATGAATAGTAAAATTGGGCTATTTTACTAATTATAAATAGTAAACGTAATATATCGCAAATTAAGTTTCAAAAACGTACTAAAATGCAAATTTTCCCTATTTAAAATACATTGTAATCATTATTATCGGTTTAATATATATGTATTAAAAAACTTCGCGTTTACAAACGCAGCAAACCTGCATAAACAAAACAATATCATTTTCATTTAGAATATGTTAGAATGTGTTTAATTATGCATATCAGAAACAAAAAAAATATAGGTTGTGTTATTGTATAAAACATTCTATACGTACCCTGTTTTCTTTAAACCAACGTAAAATGCAATCCTTGTGGTAGATATGTTTACATGGCAAAGTGATCATCTTATCTCCCTTCTCATAGTCCAACAAGCATATCGAGCACCTAAGATATTATCCAAAACCAAATCAAACCAAGATGAGATTCATGGTTTTCTAAGCCAAAGCTTGTAAACTTATGTGGATTAATATATAGTGATCGTACTGAGTATCATCGGCGACAAACTTATTTTTCTTTTGCCACCACCACCTAAATGTGGGTTTCTTCCCATATCTATGAGTTTGTAATTTGGAGATTTTCCACTGCGGTAAGCCGTTACTTCTGTCTACCACTGATTCACCTAACTCATTCGAACCCTGCTCATGCATAATAGTGAGAGTAAGTTGTCTTAATATGTTATCATGAAATAGAAGGATGAATCATGTTGGACAGAGTACATATATACCTCATAAGCAATAGTGTCGATATCGAAATTGTGAGTACTATGTACTGAGATATCTGAAGAACTACGTCTAAGTGTAGACGGGTCCGGGGAACTATGACCATATCCATAGTTACCATAGCCATAAAACCTTGCACTCGTCTAGTATTTTAATAACAAGCCAATAAAAAATATGGATATAATTATTAGTTGTCAAGTTCTAGAGCTATTGACATAATGTGTGCTTTGTAGAACTTGTAAATGAAAAAAAAAAAAAAAACACAATCAGTCATTATAATTAGGGTTGTAGATACCCTTATAATTACCGATGGAAGATCATGTTGGTGATAGTACGGACAAGGACAGTAAGGACATTGAAATCTTCCTATAAGTGAAATAGAGAAACGAATCAAAACCAAAAAAACAGCATTAGATCTTACATGATCAAACCGGCCTATGTTACAGGTTTCGGTCCTAACTCCTAACTAACATACCTAGTTTGATCGATTCACATCAAGACGATTCAGACAAAATTATTTACATATATAGAGTATGACAGTATGTATTATATATTATACACATGTAATTAATTATTTACCTACACAAGTACATTGAGCATGAGGGCAAAACATTGATGTACTTTGAAGATGGCCAAAAGATTGTCGTTGTCGTTTAACGATGATTAGTTGGTGCGTCAAATTAAGAGAAAAATGATGATTAGTTGATTTTGAAGTTTCTTATGATCAATATAAAAGGACTATTCACGGTATCACACCTTGATCTTTGTCATCTCCGAACAATTTATTTATAAATGAACATATTTAAACTTTTGCATGCGAGCTATTTTAAGTAATAGTGAAATCTAACAATGATTATATCAATTTAAAAGTTATTATATGAGAACACATGTTAATGTATTGTAAAGTAGAAATTGTTATGATATGGATATCATTTTTTTTTGGTAGTAATGATATGGATATCATTATCATATCAAAATCTTATATTAATTATATGTATGCTTTAAAATCTAGAGAAATATATTTTTTCTAAATTATTTTTTCTCAATTGAATGATTCCATGTAGTAATTATAATCATTTGCATTTAATTTGGATTAATAGTTATCTAGAAAGATATGTGTGTATTGATGATGTTTATAAAAGCTTATCTCAAATAAAATATTTTTAAAAGAAAAATGTGATTTCAATGCATAAGTTTTTATCTTTCATCACTTTATGTTTAGTAAATATATATATAAATAATAGTCCATGGTTACAAACCTTATTTGAGAGGATAGTTAAATTAATTAATTTTCCGTTAATTAAATTAAGTTTCTCTTCCACTTTTAGGGACTCTTTAGATCTTGTTGCAATTCATCTTTTTCCAATTACCATTTGTTTGCTTAGGGATTGAATTGATGTTTTGATTCAAGAATGTGTATGCTTCCATTGTTTTTATCTTTCTTTGGCATGGGATCATAACAAGGATTATGCTTCATGTATCTACACATTCATTGTGAAATGAATACATAATAACATTCTTATAAAAAAAAAAAGGCTAAATTAATTATAAACACTCATCAAAAAAATATATGGTTATCATTTATAAAAGGGTATGTATGTTATTCTTGGATGTGGTTCCAACTTGATTGGATATGGATTGGTAATTTAGGCCCTTATGTATTAGAGTTCTTGGATCTAATTAACTCTATAGAAGGATAAGTAAAATGTTTTTTTCTGGTTGTAAAATATAAAATTAAAAGCGTTCTATCTCAAAATTCAAGGGTTTTCTAGATTAATTGAGCTACCAAACGTTCCACACCTTCGTTAATACTTAATACAAACACATTTTTTTAAATAAATAAACTAATTCGATCGTTTCTTGTAGTGATATTACCGAATACCATATCCATATGTATATGTACATGTATCAAGAAAACATCAATAAGGAATCACAGATCACAAGCATGCATATTCTCTCACTCCCACACACACTGACACACAAAAAAAAGCTGCAGCTTAGCGTGATCTCTCTCATTAGGTAGCTCACAAGTAACGAACCTAGAGACCCTCTTCACCATATGACAATCCAATCCTCTTCCACTCTATATAAACATCAATAACACTTATATAGAACAAACAAACAGTACCCAAACATTCTCAAAATCATACTTTCACATAACACATAAAAGATAAAGAAGAAGATGGCAGACTCGTCCAGCTCTTCCAAGTCGATCATCATGAAGGTGGCAGTGATGGTGATCATGCTCGTTGTGGTTGCAACAACGGTGGTCAATGGACAGAGCTGCAATACACAGCTGAGTGGACTGAACGTGTGTGGTGAGTTTGTGGTTCCAGGAGCTGACAGCAGGAACCCGAGTGCCGAGTGTTGTAATGCTCTTGAGGCAGTGCCAAACGAATGCCTTTGCAACACGTTTCGCATTGCATCTAGGCTTCCTTCTCGCTGCAACATCCCTACACTTTCCTGCAGTTGATATGGGATATCAATCCTTGACGTTATATGTACGTACGAGCATACCATATCACTATATCATTAAAGTTTAATACGCTATGTATATTTATAATTTTATGTATCTAATATAACATCTCTCTTAATTTTTGTTGTTGTAATTCTTTAGGAGAAGCATAGAAGGAGATGGATATATATCTAAGACTAAGAATAAAAACTCGGAGTTTGAGTTGTTGTTTTTCTTTCTTCTTTTTGTTCGTTGCTGTAAAACCCAATATAATGGGTTTGGAATAAATTAAAATGAATAATACTGAAGTCAAATTATAATTTCTTTTGAATGGTTTATAACTAAAAAAATAAAAAGAAAAAAAAAACTTGAATGGTTGAACTTTACGTTGATAAATGAATCCTACATGCAGGTCTAGGAGGTCCTAAAACCAAAAAGGGAAAGAAGGTTGCTTGTACATGAATGAAACTATTAAAAGTAATATTTTTAGACTTCAAACTCTATACATTGGACATTGAGGGCATTTTACCAGGCTTCTAATTCTAAAATCTACTATAATTTCTGTTTTTTTAAAAAGTGGTAGACTTCTACATAATAAAATCACTTATCTAGTATAGAAGAGATGATAGAAATCTTGGTAATTAATTCAAAATTGTGTGTAGTCCATGGAACATTTCAACATTTACCCTAATCATGTGTGAAATCTGAGAGTTGTATGGATAATAATTACTTTATCATTCATGGACCTAGAAGCATGTATAAATCTAGCAAAGTTTTATCATTGTAGTTGTGTCTGTAGATAATTTTCATGACTACTTTTAGTTTTAGCTTAGCAATGCTACCAGAAAACGCGTGTGACTTTAACAATACTATAATTAGGGCGTCCAGGTCGAACTGCTCGGCGGACAACACGAACTCGGGCCACACGCTCATCTCCCTCTGTCGTCTCTCTTTATATATTTGTCAACTTCAAAAAAGACTCTTTAGATTATCAATTCAAGAAAGACTCTTTTACATTAGTTTACATTAGACTCTTTTAAGGGTATTCCTCGTATTTTAATATCTTTATGTTGCAGTTACCCATAGTTAAAAGTTAAATAATTTAGAATTGGTGAAGAGTCAAACTAGATCTTTTTAGGCTTTCTCAAGGCTTTGTTAATTTGTCAAAATCTTGAGGGAAAATGACAAAGAAACAAAACCATTTGGTCAAATTAGAAGCTTTTTTCTTTTGTTTTGTTTCTTGGTCTGGTCTGAGTAAAATTAGGGATTCGTTTTTTGTATTTTTCACCTTTCTATAATATTCTTCTACAGAAATTGGGATTAAAAAAGGTCAAAAGGTGTATATATAACCTGAGCTTTTTGGGACCCTTTGAGTAAAATATAGTCAAAGAGAGAGACAAAAACAGAGTTTTGAACAAAAAGGAGACAAGTCATATGATATAACAGAGGAGATACACACCTTTCTCTTTTCATTTTGCTGATCTTATTCTTACGTTCGACTTGTTTAGTCGTCAGAATATTTCCTGTCTACTGATTTGAAAGGTATGAAACTTGATGAACAAGCAAAGTTAAACACTGAGAAGAGTAGAAACAATGACAATACAAATAATTCTTTTATCTGTTTTGTTCTTTTTATCACTCTATAACTTGAGATTATTTGTCTGTTCTCTTTTTGGTTGCAGAGAGGGGAAATGAATGGTCATCTTGATGTTGATATGTCTAGAGGAGATTTCAATCCAAGTTTTTTTCATGGAAGGCTTAAAGATGATGAGTTTGAGAGTAGATCGTTGAGTGATGATGATAGCTTTGATGCAATGTCTGGTGATGAGAGTAAACAAGAAGAGCAACGTCCTAAGAAGAAGAAGAAGAAGCGGACGAAGTACCATCGGCACACTTCTTACCAGATTCAAGAGCTCGAATCGTAAGTTTTCAAAAGCATCTATCTTTTTGCATTTTTCATCACGGTTTGTTTTTTGAGATATGAACTGTTTGCTGTTTCTGAGTGTAGTTTCTTCAAAGTGTGTCCTCATCCTAATGAAAAGCAAAGGTTGGAACTTGGGAAAAAACTTACTTTGGAGAGTAAGCAAATCAAGTTTTGGTTTCAGAACAGAAGAACTCAAATGAAGGTACTTTATCTGAAAGTTTGTGATTTTGATTGTAAAGTTATGATTTTTATGGGAAAGTTGTTGTTTTTTTAATTGACCAGACACAACTAGAGAGGCATGAGAATGTGATTCTCAGACAAGAGAATGAAAAGCTGCGTGTAGAAAACGGTTTCCTTAAAGAGTCAATGAGAGGTTCTCTATGTATAGACTGTGGTGGAGCAGTTATACCTGGTGAGGTTTCATTTGAGCAGCACCAACTTAGGATTGAGAATGCTAAGCTTAAAGACGAGCTGGATAGGATTTGTGCTTTAGCAAACAGATTCATTGGTGGGTCTATTTCACTTGAGCAGCCTTCAAATGGTGGGATTGGCTCACAGCATTTGCCTATAGGGAATGGCTTCAGTGGTGGAACTTCTCAGATGTTTATGGATCTTGCCATGGAGGCTATGGAGGAGTTCTTGAAGTTAGAAGAATTGGACAATCCTTTATGGAACTCAAAGAGTGAGAAAGAATCAATGAACCATAACGAGTATAGAAGCAGTTCAAGAGAAAGTGGTTTAGTTCTCATCAATAGTGTGGCTCTAGTAGAAGCTCTTATGGACACGGTATGAGAAGCTCGTATACTCTCTTAAACCGGTATTTTATCGATATCACACTTAATGATAAACATCTCATCTTTGCTTTTGGATTGTTACAGAACAAATGGGCAGAAATGTTTGAGTGTATTGTCGCAGTTGCATCAACCGTTGAAGTGATATCCAACGGTAGTGATGGATCTAGAAACGGCTCACTTCAGTTGGTATGTTTCTCAAGAACCACAAAGATTATTATATATTTTGGCCACATTGCTAATTCAATGATCTTTTGTTTTGGACAGATGCAAGCAGAGTTCCAAGTGATGTCTCCATTAGTTCCAATCAAACAAGAGAAGTTTCTTAGATACTGTAAGCAACATGGGGATGGTTTATGGGCGGTGGTTGATGTTTCTTATGATATAAACAGAGAAGATGAGAACTTAAAGTCTTATGGTGGCTCTAAGAAGTTTCCTTCAGGTTGCATCATACAAGACATAGGCAATGGTTGCTCCAAGGTAATTTGATGTCATAGATCTGCGTGAGATTTTTCTTGTATTGTTTATAGTGAAGTAGTAGTTTAATTAGTCTTGTAAACTAATAACTAATGAGTCGACAAATTAGCCTGAGAACCTGAAGCCTTTCTGTATATCTTATCATAAAACTCTAAAAGATTCCTTTAAGAACTATTAAACTGATATCAAAAGCTTCATTTTTCAAGGCAAATCTTGCTTCTTGTCTGGGCTAAATCTAGGCTATACAGTATATATAATTTAAAACAAAAATATCTTGTTTTGTTTACTTATATCGATGGAAACTTTTGGTATGTTGATCATCTTGGATTAGATGAATCTACTGTGTAACATTTCTTAGTAAAAGGGGTTAATTATTACTACTGGGCACAAACTCAGTGTCCCACACATTTGGTTTAACACATAGAGACTTCTAACAGGTAACATGGATAGAACATTTAGAGTATGAAGAGAGTCACATCAATTCAGTTTACCAACTGCTTGGTTCTTCGGTTGCGTTAGGCGCAACCAAATGGCTCGCAACTTTACAAAGACAATGCGAAAGCTTCACGAGCCTTTTGTCTTCTCAAGATCACACAGGTTTTCTCTCTTTCTTGTTCTTTTCTCTCTGCATTTGAATCTTGAAGTGTTTAAATTTGAAATAGAGAAATCATTCAAGAATGTTTTCTGATAGGTTTGTCACTTGCTGGAACTAAGAGTATACTAAAGCTTGCACAGCGTATGAAGCTCAACTTTTACTCGGGCATAACTGCTTCTTCAGTTCACAAATGGGAGAAGCTTAATGCTGAAAACGTGGGACAGGACACAAGGATACTAACTAGGAAGAGTTTTGAGCCGTCTGGTATTGTCCTCAGCGCTGCAACGTCTCTGTGGCTACCGGTGACTCAGCAGAGACTTTTCGAGTTTCTGTGTGATGGTAAATGCAGAAACCAGTGGGATATTTTGTCTAATGGTGCGTCAATGGAAATCACGCTTCTTGTCCCAAAAGGGCAACAGGAGGGAAGCTGCGTCTCTCTTCTTCGTGCGGCTGTGAGTTTAATAATTCTTCTGAATCTCTGTTCTTGGTTCTAATCTATTCATTAAATTCCAAATAGACCTGTTCTTGGTTACTGATTAGACATATTTTGCAGGGGAAGGATCAAAATGAGAGCAGTATGCTAATCTTACAAGAGACATGGAATGACGCTTCTGGTGCACTGGTGGTTTACGCGCCTGTTGATTTTCCATCTATGAATGTTGTAATGAGCGGTGGGGATTCAGGTTATGTGGCGCTTCTCCCATCGGGGTTCTCGATATTGCCTGACGGATCCTCATTGTCTGATCAGATCGATACCAATGGCAATCAAGAAAGCAAAGGATGTCTCCTGACTGTAGGATTTCAGATCTTAGTGAATAGCCTACCGACTGCAAAACTCAACGTGGAATCTGTTGAAACTGTTAACAACCTCATCGCATGCACCATTCACAAGATCAGAGCCGCTCTTCGTATACCTGCTTAGCTAACTTTCTAATCTTGTGTCTCTGTCTGAAACATTTTGTCAGAATGTAGGAGAGACAATATAATATTTTGCATTTTGTGAGCGTAGGAAAATATGAGACGAGTAGCAAGTAGAAAAAACAAACGAATGGACCAAAGTTTATATTATGCAAAACTGATTGGTTGTTGTGTTTCTGCCATTTTCCTCTGATACATAAAAAACAGTGGGAAAAGCTACAGACTTCTCAAGAAACATACAAGACACCACGACGATAAAAGACAAGACTTGCTGATGTAAAACACGTCCAAACAAATAGTACCCACCAAGACATCAGCAAACCAACTTGTTTAATGAAATCGCTGCAAGGCAAAGAACCACATACCAGTTGAGACACAGCAAACGAGCTCAGGTCGATCTGAGACAAGCCGAGGAAAAGAATCACAAGGACAGATGGCGCCAAAAACTGCAGAGCGACAAGGCATAAGTAGTGGTTGTGAAGAAACATCTTTGCCCGGCTAAAGTCCAAATCAGGAGTTTTGCTTCCATGCAATCTCTGATACCAAGAGAGAACTGCTTCGTTCAAAAACATCTGAAGGTTAGGACGAACCGCCATGGCTTGCAGTAAACCCGAGACTAACAAACACAGTACCCGAAACTTAACAAAATCATCACTCGACATGCCTACATTACCAACCAACCCAATTTGACCACTTCTAGTTCCAGCATTATCACTTCTCTTCACTAGAATCTCTGCCAACGGATGAATCCAAAGCAACGAAGTGAAAACCGATACGATATAATTCACATATAGAACCATTCTCCCGAACCATCCACAAGAAATGATCGACAAATTACTCCTAATCTGATCAGTTCCAATCCAAAACGACCTTGCACTTCTTCCAGCAGGCATATACAAGAATCCACAAATACAAGCCATCGAGAACGAGATCACAATGCAGCAGAAGGCATCAACAGACCCCAATTGAAAATCAAACCCCTTTGGGAAAACACCAGCACTGATTATAATCCCAAACACAAAACCTAAAACCCCAAAAATCAAACTCAACTTCTTCTCAGATTTCTTGGAAGCAGATCTCTCAATCGAGATCTTACCCAAAGCAACGAACACCTTACACAAAGCTATAAACCCGAGAACAAGCGGAAACATCAATCCATTCCCTAAAACTCCATGACTATCCTCTACACCCAAGTAGTAATTAACGAGAAAGCACGAAACAGCTAAGAACAATAACACGAAAAGCGAATTGTACTCTGTGAAATACATCCGAGATCTGAGATGATCTTCATCGAGCTTAATTCGAAAGATCTGAGCATTGCTTTCGTCGAATTCGGATTTATCTTTGGATCTGTTCCTTCTTCTCACTTCTACGTTAGACTTCGGATCGTCGGTGCTCGATGGTCTTCGAATCGCGGGTCTGAGTCCATTTCCGGCGCTGTTTTGGCCGAGATTTTCAGGTTGGATGTAGGTACAGAGTCCATGGAGGAAGATGATTGAGATTTTCACGAATGATAGGATTAGTGTTAAGATGAAAGATAGTAGGATTTGAAGTGTGAGATTCCTGTAAGTTCCAAGAATCTCAAGCATTGTTCTTCCCTTACTCTTTTCTTCACTCTGTTCTTCAATGGTGGAAGAAGAAGAAGAAGATGTATAGTCTGATTTTGTTTTCCAGATTTCGAATCTTACTTTTAATTGGTAAAGACCCAATGGGCTTTTTAAATACCCATTATCCATGATATCCTTATTCTTAAGTTATAATCTTACAAGCAGTTCTAAACTGGAATAGCAAAACAACACGGCGTGCTAAACAAAACCTTACGTCACTCAAGGTTAGTGTGACGAGCACGTACCGACTCGGGAGTCTCAGACAAAACCTCACTTAACTTGTAAACAACCATCTCAAACAACACAAACAAAGCTCCTTCATATACACTCCCCATCGGCAACAAAGGTCTCTGTCCTATCTCCGCTGCATCACTACTGTCACTAGCCATAGTTTGAGCAGGAACATAACACACTTCTGTCGCATGTTTCACACAAGAACCTGTCTCTGGCAGAGCTGTAAGGAGAAGAACTTTAGCACCGTTGGATTTAGCTACGGAGCAAATCGCATCGACGGTTGAGAATCCTCCAGGACCAGCTGAAGCGATGAGGAGATCAGATGATGAGATTGGTGGTGTGGTCATGTCAAAGACTAAGTGAGCGGAGAGACCAAGGTGGAAGAGACGCATCGCGAAGGCTTTTAGCATGAGTCCTTCTCGTCCGACACCGTAGAGGAAGATACGAGAGTTGCGGTTGCAGGAGATTGAGGTGAGCTCTGTTACGAGGAGATCTAGTGGTGGTGGATATGGAGAGGTTGATGTGGCGAAGACGGAGGAGATTTGATTGCAGATTTGTGAAGATAGATTCGCCATTTCTTGAGTTTTCTTGTTCGCCATTGTTGTGTTTGATAATTCAGTTTTGACGGTTTATGTATCCGTCATCTTCATTCGTGCAATTTGAACCACATTTATGAGTTCCGGTTTGGTTCGGTTTATATGTCTAACAAAGAATACAATACATGGATAATCAAAACAGAATGACCATTGAAACATGAAAGAACAAAAGTGACTGTAAGCAATTGTATATAAATGGTATAAAGACAAATAACATAATTTCAGAATTTTGATGGGTTTTTTTTTCTTCTTCTTTCTTTTTTTCAGAAGGATTCAAGTAGATATAAACCCACATTAGATTGAGATAGAGAGCTCTGTAAAGCCTGGACCAGAGTATACAAATTTGATTGAACAGAGAGGTTTTGATATTAACTTGGGGATGAAGATGACTTCTCTGATACAGTTGTGCCTGCAGCTAACTCTTTCTGTGCACCTTTAGTGTGTCTTGAGCTTGTTGCTTCTGATTTACTGCCTTTTGCAGCATCATCCTCTTCCTCTTCTTCTTCGTAGAAAGACCCTGAGGATCTCAGTTCCTTCACCTTGCGAAACTCGTCGTAATGTGCTTTTCTGTGTGCGTTGAAACGTGCATTTTTCCCATTTTCGGAACCTGTGTTTTGCACACAAAAACAGTAAATACATATGGAGATGATCTAATAAAAGAACCTAAAACATGGCAGTATATTTGTTTGGTTTTTGAGGAGGACCTTCTTCATCTTGATCCATTGGATCTGCTTCTTCTTCATCAGACGAGGTCCAGCCACCACCACCAGAACCCTGGCTGGAAGAAGCTGCTGCATCATTAAGACTGTTTCTCAGTTCTTCCGCACGTTGCATATCATCAACGCATTCATCAAATGCTCTTCCTCTAGGAGACAGAGAACCTGGCACAAACAATCAGGAAACAACCAAAGAAAAAGGTATGTTTAAATTATTTTTCACGGATTAGAAAAAATGAGAACTAATTCAAGCTAATCTTACATCTAGAATGACAGATATTCAAATCAAAAATCCAGTAGCAGGGTACAAGGTTTCCCCCAAAAGAGTAGTAATCATCCTACTTGCAAAAACCATTTTCACTTACGCTATGTTTTATATCTTATCAACAATATATGCAAACATCTCATAATCAAATATATGTATGCTCAGACGTTTATTATAAGTTGTGTGCAACTGTGCATATACGCATATAAACCAAGAAAAAGAGAAATAGACAAACCATCATCATCAATCATCGGGTGGTACGGTGTCTTTGGTTCAGTAATCTTCTGCCTAACAGGTTTGTTAGATTCAATCTCCACTATATTAGCTTCATCCCATTGTACACGCCCCCTGCCATAAAAACGAACATCCTTAGTGTTGCACAAGAGAGAGAGAGAGAAAGAGTAATCCCAGAAACTATACTAGATTATACACTGATCATCTCTCATTACAGAAGAAGTCAATATCTAACCCTTTAACTAAAGACAGTAAAGTTCCCAGAATCTTACAGTTAACAATTCTGCTGGAACATGAAAATCCATGAACATTTTACACAATAAGACCTCCCTCTTCCATTTCCTTTTCAATGGGGGTAGTAGAGAAAGATCTGTTTTACGCTTCCTTCATAAAAAGACTGCCATAGAAGGCTTAGAACTTCATATCTATGGATATAGCATCCCTCCACATAAATGAACACAGCCCATTGGCTCCAGAACTGATCTTGATCTAAACACATGCAAGGTACAGTTCTGATGCAACAAGCTAACAAAAACTATAGCCACAAACGAATGAAAATTCTAAAGAGAAGAAACATAATTCAGGCTAATCCAGCTAAACATACACAATGGTATAGGTTACCACTCAAAATCACAAACCTTTAAAAGACAATGACGCAGTAAATAGTATCTATCTATGCCAGGATCATTGAGCTCAAGCAAACAACTCCTAACTTATCAAATTCGCTGAGTAATGATTTCAATCAAAAAGGGTTTTAGCTCAGAGAACCAATTGATATCAAAAAGGGTTTTCGTATCACTTTCCTCAATCCTTCACTCAGATTAAGAACATCAAATACACAGTAAGAAACCCTAGGCTACGTTTGGTTCTACAGAGACCGAACTAAAACCAAAGAGAGATCTTTTGTGGCGCATATCAGAAATTCGAACTAAGAAGAAACCATCAAAACAGTAAATTTCGTTACCTCTTTGGTTCTGTCATCTTCTTCAACCTCCAGCAACTTTTTTTTTTTTTTTTTGGTCTCGATCGCAAGTTTGTGTTCTTCGCGTGCGGAGAGACTCGATTAGACACGGCGGTCAATGAAGAGATGTAATAGAAGCCGTCCGTTTATTTGACTTTGACCACCAAAGCGGTCAGATATCGCCACGTGGTATACTCTAAGCCCGTTGGATTTGATCAAGCGTGTGAAGAGTGAGGTAAGGGTAGTTTTGGAATTTAGCTTTAGAAGTTTTTTTGAAGACGATCGAATCGAAGACGGAGTGCAAAAACCAACAAGTTTCGATCTTTCTTTAGTTCTTCTCTCGAGATCTTCAGGAATTGTAAGGATTTTTATCGAATCTTCGTTTCTTGTTTGTCACGATGGCGGAAATGAATCTATTTTTGATGATTTTACCATGTTCGGGAGCTTGTATTGATTTAGTTCATCACTCACTAAGCTAATTTTGATCTCTCTGATGTGCAATGGGAATGGGTCTTAGGTCTTGGTGATACATGGTTTTTTTCTTTGATTCATTAGCTATTTCAAGATCTAATCTTTTAGTTGCTATGTTGTTTGAAATTGAAACCCTTTGTGATTCAAAGTGGTTTTGGTGATTTCAGAACAATAGGACTTAGGTAGATTTGGTATTGCATTTTTGGGTTCTTGAAACTGTGAATTAGATCCGGGAATGTGTGTCAGATCATGGAGTCTTGTGATATCTAATTACTTGTTGATTCTTCTCTTAAGCTTACTGAAATTATGATGATAAGCTCCACTCTTATATTGGTTCAGCCAAGGGAAGATCAAAGTAATTAGAGAAGCTGAAGTAGGAGGAAGTCATGTTTTCTCTTATGGCTGGGCTATGGAGTTACATGTTCAGCAAGACTGAGTTTCATGTCCTCATTCTTGGTATCGGCGAAGCTGGGAAGACGGTAATGTCTTCTTCTTTTATCTCTTTTTTCATGTGTTACTTTTGCCTGGGTTGACCTCTGATATACTTGTCCATATTTCAATGTCTTAGACGTTTTTGGAGAAACTAAAGACGATATACTCAGTCTCAGAAGGTCTTCCTCATGATCGAATTGTTCCAACTGTTGGGCTAAATATTGGTCGTATTGAAGTTTCCAATGCTAAAATTGTGTTTTGGGACCTAGGAGGTCAGGTGAGTTGGAAATGCCTTAAATCATGTAATTGATTTATCATCTTTGTGCCTATATATTCGTTCATAGTTTATTCATGTTCCCTTTTGCTCTACTAGTCACCTATACCACTCTAGAGCATTTGTGTTGAGATGATATGAGTACATAAAAGATCCTTTTGAACTCTTCCTCTCTCTAAGTTAACATTCTTTTTTTTGGAAGCTTTATTAGCCTTTCTTGCAATAGATTCTTTCTAATTCTATTGAAAACTATCGATTGTTCTGAAACAAAACCCTGCTAATGAAAGCAGATCACATTTTAAGCCTATCGTAAACTTTAGTTTGTTTCGATTTACAGATCCTGATTGTGAAAAGGATCAGTCTTTCTAACCAAATATCTGAGCCTTTTCCTCATTATCGCAGCCTGGTTTGCGGTCGATTTGGGAGAAGTATTATGAAGAAGCACACGCATTGATATATTTGATCGATGCAGCCTGCCCAACACGCTTTGAAGATTCAAAATCTGCCCTAGGTATGTCTGTGCCCACAAGTTGAAATCAAACAAACCATTATGAAGCCAAAACTAAAATATAATTTGTCTTCACCAGAAAAATCCCTGCGGCATGAGGACTTGCAAGGAGCCCCGCTTTTGATATTGGCAAACAAGCAAGTAGGAAGTTGTTACTTTATCTGTTAGCTTAACTTCTCCAATGATATGTTGTTTACTGATAGTATTGAATCTGTAACCGATGAGCAGGATCTCCCAAACGCTGTGTCAGCTGAGGAACTGGGCCGATATCTGGATCTAAAGAAATTGGATGAAAGGGTTTATATGTTTGAAGCAGTTTCTGGATATGATGGGTTAGTAAACTCTTACTTTAAGCTACACACATGAATCTTACAGCCCTATAGAAACACTGGAAAGCAAGAAAAATTTAAACGTATGGTTTGGTGAGCAGGCGAGGAATCAAAGAAAGTATAGAATGGCTGGTTGGAGTGATGGAGAGAAGCAAAAGAACCGAAACATTAAGAGCCCGTACAGGGTACGCTCCCGTGCCAAATGCATAGACACGAAAAAGGAGTGGCAAACTCAACTGTCCAACCAACTGGTTTCCGTTGCAAACATATGTAGATAAGAACATACCAGAATCCTTGCATTATTTTGGGTTAGCATCAAATCACATGATGAGTAGGACTAGTAATCTCCTTATTTACCTCCTTTTACTAATGTTATGAATTCAGTCGAGATTTTGAGATCATGATTCCATTTCAGTGACCCCTTTTGGACTGCAAACCAATAATGTAATCAAGTTTCTTGATTTGCAAACTCAATCAATAGAACAAAACAGAGACTACATAGTTTAACGCTTTTTCAGATAGGAAACAAGCAGAGACAATGAAGCAATAGAGAGGTTTTCAACTTGTTCCTGAAACAGAGTAGAAAAAGCGACTCAGAATTCAGAACTATCTGACCAAATTTTAAGGCTAGAAGTTTTCATAAATCAAGAACAGAAGAGAGAGAGAGAGAGGTTGTTACCAGAAATGAGAGGCTTAGGTCTGGTCTTAAACAAGATTTTTGTTCGTATAATCCCAACAACTTCAAGTTCCGTTCCTTTTCCTGAATCTTCATCTAATTGAAGCTTCTTCAAAACCAGTAATGGCTTCTTCAGAGTCACCTTAGAGCCTATGAGTTCATGGTAACCCACCGTGAAAGTGTACGTTTCCTGAACCGATTGAACAATAAACAAATACAAGATCATCAAACTCTGGTACGATTAGAGAAACTGATATAGGACGAAAGAAAAAACAAAACCTGCGACGATTCGGTATGACAGAGCCGACCGATCTCGAGATTCTGAATAGAACCTTCGAACGAAGCTTGAGTCTCAACGACTCCTTGAAGTTCTACGATCGCCCACTCGCTACACTCGTCTTCTCCACATCTACACTTTACTCGAATCTCCATCTTCTTCTTCTTTCGTCTCCGATACATTTACTTTATTATGTATATATAGATTTTTTTGGCGGAAAGCAAGAAACTTTCGCGGGCTTTTTTCGTTTGAGATGACGTCACCATCATCTTCTTAAATCTGATCGTAGTAATGAACAGAAAAGCTCAATTCTTCTCCAAACTTGAGTTCTAAAAAAACTTATCTTTCAAAAGAAACGATTAAACAACCATTGTTACAGAGAAAAAACAAGATCATTGGGGGTGGTTAGGAGTTTCTCCAGGTTCTGTCGATACACAAACTAATACATATGTATTTACAGAACATGGCTACAAAAGTAGAAAAGACTAAGGCATTTGCACATGGATCTTACAATATCACCCATGGCGTTATCAACACCCTAATATACGAAAATGTCCTAAAACACTACAGGTTTTTATTTCTTCTTGTTGTTAGTCCTTAGATAAAGATTGTGCACACAAGTCTCCTTTACCCACCACAGTCTTGTTCTTTTGTTGAGCCAAATGATCACAGTTGCTTTGCCTACCTCCTGGTTCTGGTGTTGCTGCTGTGGCAATCGTCGTTCCCTCTGTCTTTGATTTCACATCTGGTTCATCTAACCCTATTGGGATGGCGCCTGTAAGAGTTTTTATAGCAAAGTCGATACATGGGTCTTTCCAGATATCCGCACTCGGGGATGCACCTGGATTTTCAGAGCATGTGTTAACGTTTCCAGGAGTCTCTGGGATAAAGGAGACTCCTTCCTGCTTGGTGTGATTGTTAATGTGATCAGAAGAGATTGCTATGGTGTTAGGAAGACGCAGCGATTCTCCTGTCAAAGTTTCGATAGCAAAGGCGATGCAAGGATCTTTCCAAAGATCTGCAATGGTCGAGTTATATGCCGAAGAGAAGCTGTTGGTGTTCTTCTCCATCACTTCTGAGCATGCACCTCTTACGACAGATGAGTTAGGTAACTCATTGCCTAATTTATTTCTCCTTTGAATGGCATTACCACTATCACAAGGATGTGGATACTTTCCTTTATTTGAGGATCCCAAAGCCGAGATCTCAGTTGCTTTCACACTGGTGGCAAGTTTAGCATTTGGGCTAGACTGTCCCAGTCTTTTGCCTGCGGCTGTCTTCTCCCACTTCATTGCAGAAGTTTCGCAAGCCAACGGTGACACAGGCGACATTTCTTCCTTCTGCTTGTAACCATCAAGATGAAAAACTGGATTCAGTTCATATATTATCGGTGGTGTTAGCACTGTCTTCTTCTCTCTAGAAGGCTTTCTGCCTACTGATTTACGGATCTTTTTAATTCCCACTGCCATTTCTGCACTCACACGATTGTTGCTTGTAGGAGCAGCAGCAGCAGCATATGGTTTCTGAGAACAATCTATATTATGGCTTTTAGCTGGTTCCTTATTTAGGGGTACACCTGTCTCTTTCAATCCGCTGGTAGCAACAGGATTCATAGGTTGCTTGCACTTTCCGGCTGCGCCATCATCAGGAGGTATTATTTGAGGAGCTTTGGTTCCTGTCTTAAATTCAGGCGTCTGTTCATCATCAGGAGGAGGTACTCTTCGTTGAACTTTAGTTCTTGTCTTCAGTTCAGGCGTTGGTTCAAGCTCAATACCAGCTAATCGTTTTGATGTTCGCCGGGATCCACTATTGCTTAGCTCATTCGTCTTCACTTTAGCTTTACTCCTTGTAATCCGTTTTTTGGTAGAATCTTGTTCCTCTTCTTCCTTCATAACAGATTCCTTGATTGGTTCTTGTGACCTTGCACCGCTCAATCTGGAGTTTAGAGAATCTACAAATACAACCAACATAGAATAAATTGATGTACCCAAATCCTCTTGTTATCTCAGCCACACTACTCGAGTGGAATTTTGAAGTAGAGTATCTACATACCTTTTTCTGATTTTGCATTTGATAAAGACGGATTATTTCTTTTTAACTCTACGAATTCTTCATTCTTAATTGCTTTAGCTTGGCTCCTAGTAACCCGTTTCATTATGGGCTGCTTTTCGATAGGATCTTTCGCCTCTTCCTTCTTCTCACCATCCTCAAGAACTTGTGAGGTTATGATGCTCAAGTCAGAATTCATTTTACCTGCAAATTTAATCGAATATTGACATTTAACGTTACTCACTGCCTAAGTATAATTATACTTAGGCAAGTGGCAAAAGAATTTCTACTTACAATTCTTGGAAGGTTCATCAGATGAAGGTAGGTTTCTCCGTTTACTTTTTCTGGCATGAATACCTATCTTTTTCTCCTTTTCCAATAAATCATCAGCAGATCTCTTTTCCACATACTCCAGGCGAAGCTAATATAGGATGGAGAAAGGTTAAGAGTTAAAATTATCAGAAAATCAACTAGTCAGTAACTCAGCTATAGAGCTTTCCATTTAACTAACAACCACGAACAGGGGAAAAAAGAACTCACGATGGGATTTCCATTTCCGGAATCATCATCTTCGATACTGCTTTCCTTCACTTTACGTGCATAAATTCCAATATCACCAGTCTCAACATACCTTGACGCATCTTTGAAGGAGTGAAAGATATACCCACTTTTAGGGTCAATAAAAAACTGCAACAATAAAATCATGCAGATCCAAGAATCACATAAGAGTTTTTCCAAGAATTGAGCATGAAAAATGTAGGAGAAATTTGTCAAAAGACACAAAATGTTCTTTTGGGATCAAAGATAAGGAAAGCTGAACAATAGTAGAGGGTACAAACTGGATCTCTTCTAAGTTTACGGCCTGATCTGTTTGATATCTCAAGCTTCTTGATCCATCCTTCAGGTAAGCCTTTAGCTGCAGATTTCTCAACTATAACCTGTATCACTTAAACATAAAGAGTTTTTCTTTTTAAGAGACGTATAAAATATCAAATCTGAGGGATCACAAAGAACAAACTAACATTGTTTCCAAACATATAAACAACACAAAAACTCTCAGATTATATTATGTGCTTATGAACTTTCCTAAGAAATCTGATATCAGACCTCTCTCAATATGAATGTTGTTCTACTTAACCTTCCCATTGCATACGACGAGTGGTAAAAACGTTTTACGATTTATAGTTTTCCTACGAATATGGTGTGTTACAGCCAACAATCGAAGAAAGGAACAGATCAACACGCAAAAATGTTATTTTACAACCCATTTTCACGAAATCAATTGCTCAAACTATCTCAGCAAAGTAAGCAGATACATGTTTTTCACACCAGGTCAACTAAGAGTCAAATCACAAACTCAAGACAACTTTAGAATCTAACATCGCCAATTGATTCAAAAGTAAAAACAGAGCATTTTCTCCAAAGCCACAGAACTATGAGTACAACCAATGGAGTAGAAAATGTAGCTTCATAAAACAAAGCTTCGATCAAAACCACAAGCTACGAAGTTTATCCATTTTCAGAAAGGCTATGCATTGAAAGCAGGCGAAATCATTAAACATCTTCTCTTTTCCTAAAAGCTATTGCATGCAGGAGAAAATCATCAAAACGGCACAAAAAGATCTCACCTTTTTTCCATTATTACGCAATCATACAATCAGATACTGAGAGTGAGTGAGATAGACAGAGAGATAATCAATGAAATCTGACACTTCACTTAAGATACCACAAAAGAGCTAAAATCAAAACCATTCAATAACAAGAACCAAACATGCATAAGACAATCAAGACAGAGAGATTCATGACACAGCAAAATCAAATTAAGAATTGGAATTCAAACTCATAATCACCTTATCCTTTCTCCCATTCTTCCTTACTCTGATCTCCACTCTCCGCTCAGAGATCCCTTCACCCACCATTGCTCCACGCCTGAAAACTCACCTTCCTGTCACCGTAAACCCCCACTTCCCTCTCTCACTTGAACCCTTGATTGTAAACAAAAAACGATTTCTCAACTCAAAACGCCAAAACCCATCAAGAATTCACCGTAAAGCAACACCAAGAGTCCTCAGAGGTTATAAAGAAGGAACCTTTATAACATCAGATTGTGTGATTTTGGGAATGTATCCTGTCTCCACTAAGGGCAATAGAAAAAAAAAATAGGTCTTTTTTTTTAATTGGGAAGAAGAAGAAGAAGAAAGGGTTTACATTACACGTGTAGTGAAGGAGGTTTCATGGTGATTCCCGATTTGAGAGGCTAAACGAAAAACTAAGTCCACCACCACACCTCAGCACACGCGAGTCTTCTGGCTTAACGCCTCTCTTCTCTATTTGCTAATGTAGCTCTCATTTCTCCCATTTTATTCTCATCTACTGTTGTTATTACCTTTTTCTTCTTTTTTTTTTTTTTTGTAATAAGAATCCAACTTTACACTGTTGATCAAATCTTTGCTTTAGTTTGGTAAATAAACTCTATTTATGGTTATGTTTTTTGGAAGTAATTAAAGTCTTTGTTGTTAATTTTGAGCAAAAATAATTGTTAATGTTAGTCTTAGAACTAGACTAGGTAATGTCCCGCGCATATGCGCGGGTTGTTTTATATTTATTTAATTATTTTAATTTATTTATTACTTATAAAAAATAGATTAAATAAATTTTAATGTTTATGACATTTTTACATTTTATTTATTTAAATCATACAATAGAAGCATACATCCATATCTTTTGAATTTATTCGTTGATTAATTGTTCAATTAATCAATTTTGATAGTAATTTTCTTTAGTACTTTAAAGTATTTTTTGATAAAACAATAATATTGTTAATGATAAAAATAGGAATGATATTCGGAGAATTTAAAAAATACCCCTTTAAAAATACCACTTTTTAAATTTACCCCCTTTTCAAACTTTATCAAAACAACCACTAAAATTGTTGAAATTTATCCAAATATGTGTGTAAACTTATAAATATACACAA